ATAAAGAATGTAAAATGCCTGCCACACAGCAAGTGCTCAGTATGTGATAGTTGCTATAAATAATAAGGGCCCATGAAGACAAATCCATGTTATTTTTAAATTTTTTTAAAGACCTATGTTACTATTTCTTATGTTAAGAACATCCATACTAGCTGTCCTTATTCCCCACTGTTTCCTAGTCTAAGGACTGTGCACAAGGTTCTCAAGAGCCCTGTGTAGTCCCAAGTTAGACCACTCCTGTTTTTCTAGTGCCTAGCTATTAGAACTGCAGCACTACCCGAGGGTAGATTAAAAACTGCTGCTGTTGTGTCTTAGAGTCAGCCCCAGAATCACGATGACAGGACCTAATCATTTGGATCTTTGAATCATAGTCATGGCCTTGTGATTGTGTGTTTTGCTTTGGTTTGGCAGAAAAAGAGCCCTCAGTTCTGAAAAAAGTGCTGTTGGAGGATGAGGTCTTGGCTGCCATGGTGTCTGTCATTGGTACTGCTACCACCCACCTAAGCCCTGAGTGAGTATAATCACAGATGTGGCTTAAACCCAGGGAGAAGGATGGGATTATTTGGAAGATGCGACAGATAGCTGCCTTGTCAGCTATCCATTTACCCACATTTAAATGTGGAGGCAGTTCATTATTTTTATAAGATTTTCTGACAAAGCAAAAGGAAGGAGCTCTTTGTACCATGGACTGTGGGGATGGGTGGGCCATGGGCCAATGGTTGTTAGCTACAGATGTGCAGAAGAATTACCCATTCAGCATTTTAAAAACATACATATTCCCAACCTAAACAAGAGCAAGACCCTGTCTCTACTAAAAATAAAAAAAATAGCCAGGTATGGTAGCTTGCATCTATAGTCCCAACTACTCAGGAAGCTTAGATAGGAGGATTACTTGAACCCAGGAGTTAGAGGTTGCAGTGAACTATGCTGGTACCAATGTACTTTAGCCAGGGCAACAGAGTAATACTCTGTTTCAAAAAATAATAATAATAATAATACACACACACACAGATTCTCTCACTAGATTGTAAACTCTAAGAGAATAGGATTTGATTTGTCTGGCTCACTGCTGTACCACTAGGACCTAGATGGGAATAGTTTCCTAACACATAATATGTGCCAGATTAATACTTATTAAATGTATGAATGATCAGGGCCTGTCCCATTGACTTGACCCTAATGTGAACCCCAGATTGAAAAGTACTGCTGTGGCAGGAAGGACTGTTTTAGAAACCTAGCTCCTTGATAATACCTAGTACTCTGCCCCCAGGTTAGCTGCCCAGAGTGTCTCCCGCATTGTGCCACTCTTCTTGGATGGCAACGTCTCCTTTCTGCCTGAAAACAGCTTCCCAAGCAGATTCCAGCCATTCCAGGTGACAGTCTGATGGATCAGACGGGAGAATCTTGGAACTTATGTCTTCAAGCTTATTTTCTTAGGGCTAATATGGATGAGTAGAGGAGCAGACAAGCCTGTTGCTGGCTGGGCAGGCTTGATAGGGCTCTTCTTCCCTTATAGGATGGCCCCTCAGGGCAGAGGCGGCTGGTTGCACTGCTTATGGCCTTTGTCTGCTCCCTCCCTCGAAATGTAAGTAAGCACACAAATTGGGGAGTACCCTTGTTTAACCCTGACAGGGGAAGGTGGATCCCAGGTGACCTCTGGGCTGAAATTTGCCACAAGCTCAGCTGATTTTTTACTTCCCCCACCATAGAAGTTAGTTTTCATCCATCCTGGTCCCTGCTGCCACTTGGTACTGGTTATCTCTTAGAGATCAAGTGTTCTCTGGGTCCATTTCATAGCCAGTTGTTCTGTAGGTGGAAATCCCTCAGCTGAATCAACTCATGCGGGAACTTATGGAGCTGAGCTGCTGCCACAGCTGCCCCTTCTCCTCCACTGCTGCTGCCAAGTGCTTTGCAGGACTCCTCAACAAGCACCCGGCAGGTACTAGGAGGAGACAGGGTCAGAGCCTCCTGGATCAACTACAGATGAAATCTTCAAGCCCAGTACTCATTCTCTTTAAAAAAAAAAAAAAGACCTTGCTAATAACATAATAGGGCTTTAGCTGCTCACTGTCCTGGAACACCCCTTGCTCAAGACCAGAGTTGAGCAAAGCATTACTGTACCCAAGAAGAGAAGGACTATGAGGAGAATGTTCTATCTGGTTCCACATCCTATTCCCTACTGTGGGGCTAAGATGGATAATTTTTTATTGGAAATAGACAACCCTCTCTCTTCATAGGGCAGCACCCCTACATTTTGAGAACACCAGGCTCTCATGCTGCCGTCCTATATGGACAAAATGATACTGTCCCTTTCTAGCAGCCTTCAGGGAGCTCTGCACTTAAATTGTTTACCTCCTCTATTAAAGAAAGAAATGTGGGGGAGGAGGGGGGCATGGGCAATATATGTAACCTTAACACTTGTACCCCCGTAATACGCTAAAATAAGAAAATGAAAAAAATGTGTGGCCTTTGCATCAGCATTTCCTCCCTCTCTTTCAGGGCAGCAGCTGGATGAATTCCTACAGCTGGCTGTGGAGAAAGTGGAGGCTGGCCTGGCCTCGGGGCCCTGTCGTAGTCAGGCCTTCACATTGCTTCTCTGGGTAAGGAGTCAGAATGGATTCTTGTTAGAGAGTTATGTCTGGTTAAATGAAGTGTCCCTATTTGACCCTGAGCCAGAAACATCAGTGTCTCAGGGTTCTGGGGTTTGAGTGTCATGCCCTGACTGCTCTCTCTCTCTCCAATTACAGGTAACAAAGGCCTTAGTGCTTAGATACCATCCTCTCAGCTCCTGCCTTACAGCCCGGGTAAGTCCTTTTTGGAGACAGAAGAACCTAGGACCTAAACAGGAACTTCCCTGTTGATTCTATTTCTCCCCCAATGCACCTCAAAGGCCCTCTTTTTCTCCAGCTCATGGGCCTCCTGAGTGATTCAGAGCTAGGCCCAGCAGCAGCTGATGGCTTCTCGCTGCTCATGTCTGACTGCACTGATGTGTTGACTCGTGCCGGCCACGCTGAAGTGCGGATCATGTTCCGCCAGCGGTTCTTCACAGATAACGTGCCTGCTTTGGTGCAGGGCTTCCATGCTGCTCCCCAAGGTGAGGAGAGTCTGAAAGTCTACAAATATGTAGACCTCTCCTTTGCTTAGCTACATTGCCTAGAATAATTTAGGACCTGCCTGCTTGTTTAGAGCTAAAGTATGGTCTGTCCTAGAAAGCTAAATTTGTAGATTATCCTACTTTTTCCTTTGATGGGCATATCTTGGCTTATTAGCTTGAGGGGCTCTTTTTTCCCCATTTCATTATATCTGATACCTCAGCCTCAGAGATTAGAGTTGAATTCCCAAGCTATATGTCAGTTTCCCCCCTAAGCGTTTCCATTTTTTACAGATGTGAAGCCAAACTATCTGAAGGGTCTGTCTCATGTACTTAACAGGCTGCCTAAGCCTGTGCTCTTGCCAGAGCTGCCCACAGTAAGTCCTGCAGTCAGAGCCCCCTGGGGGAGAAAGCTATTCTTCCCCAACTGGGGCTAGAAGGGGGAGGAGAGCTCCCCCTTCACAGTGTGGTCATCCCCTACCTTTCCCATTGCCTCTTAGCTCCTTTCCTTGTTGCTGGAGGCCCTGTCCTGCCCTGACTGTATTGTACAGCTCTCCACCCTCAGCTGCCTTCAGCCTCTTCTACTGGAAGCACCCCAAGTCATGAGTCTTCACGTTGACACCCTCGTCACCAAGTTTCTGAACCTCAGCTCTAGCCCTTCCATGGTGTGTTGAGCCCCAGCAACTCATTTGGCACCAACATCTCTCCTCGGGTGTCCCCTAACCTCCTTATGGTTATCTTCTAGGCTGTCCGGATTGCTGCACTGCAGTGTATGCACGCTCTTACTCGCCTGCCCACCCCTGTGGTAAGTCTTCTGATATCCCTCCCTGGTCTGGGAACTTCTCAGAGAAGCTAGGTAAGTACCTTTCTGCCTTAGTAAAGTGGGGTTAACCACCCTGCTATGGGATCGATATGAACTACAAGGTACAGATAGGCAAGGATTTTTTCCATGGACCCAGTAAATCCTGACTACTCTATAATAGAGTGGCCATCCTGCCACTTAGCATCCCCTAGAATCACTAAAAAATAGGACACATTTTGCTTTCTTCAGAATATTCGTGTATAATCAAGAGAGTCTTAGCCTTGCTCATCCAAGGCAACCAAAGATTATCTCCTCTGACTCCACAGCTGCTGCCATACAAACCACAGGTGATCCGGGCCTTAGCCAAACCCCTGGATGACAAGAAGAGACTGGTGCGCAAGGAAGCAGTGTCAGCCAGAGGAGAGTGGTGAGTTTTTACATCGTGGGAAGAAGTGGGGCTGAGATAAGCCTCACTACTGATGTTGCCAACATTTTTTGCTGCAGGTTTCTGCTGGGGAGCCCTGGTAGCTGAGCCCTTGGTCCTGGCCGTGACTGTTCTAACAGACAATCTTACCTGGAATTACTATTGAGCCATCTTGCCCAAGGCAGGGAGACCACTGGTCTCTGACTGCCTTTCCCACAGCACAAATGCTGGGCCTCTGTAGCATGGCTGTGCAAGAAACATGGGAGTCCTGATTTCTAATGGATTGTGAAGTAACTGAGTGTGAGACTATTTATGTTTGAAGAAAGATCTAGGGTCATGGGGCTCTTCCATTTATATGCCAGAGAGAAGACGATATGCTGCTGAGGAGTGAATGCAGACGAGTGTGGCCCTGAGGACCAGGGGAGGTAGGGATGTGTGTGCCTGCTGAAGAATAAAGATTTCTTTTGGTAATGGGGCTGACTGTCAGATATTTCCCCCACCCACATATGCCTCTGTAGCATATAACCAGAGGTGTCACTGGCCTAAGCTAGAAGAACAGTAATGACCTGGAATAGCCAAGAATTCTGGGCATAGGAGGCATGACCAGAACATCTACTCACTAGGCCATGACCTTGACTTCCCCCCTCCCTGTCCTATAGTGAGGCAAAGAGTGAGGAGCTGCATGTTGTTAAAAATCAAATACCTTTATTTTTGCTCCCTTCAGCAGCATATGAGAAGTGGCAGTGACCTCAGCAGCAGGTCTGGTAACTCTGCCCTGTTGAGAAGCTGGGATCTCAGCTGTACCAGTTAGGTGTTTTCTCAGACAGCAAGTCTAAGAGGTGCTATAACCAGGAGGGGCCAGGGTCAGCACTGGGCAAGGCAGCAGCCTGACCCTGGTCTGGGCCTGGAACTTCTGTTTGCCTGAGTAAAAGGATGCCAGTCCTCAGATTTCTTCACATTGTGTCTTCCGCAGTGGCCAAAAGGTTGGTCCTTGAGTTGTCCCTGTATGGTACTCTGAGGCAGGCCCACTGGCTCTTTTTTATCATCAATTCCAAGAAAAGCTGCCCTTGGCCCTTGAGACAACGTAGGAAGCAGAATGAATGCTCAAGTTGTGGCTGACAGTCCAGCTCACACTGCCATCACAGAGGCTGAGTGAGCAGTCACCCAGGGAGGGGGCTCCCAGCTCATTCCGTTTCCGTGGGGCAGGTGGCTAGAAGGTAACAGCACCCGGGTAAGCCAGTGCCTAGAAGAGAAGATAGACATATCTAAATTCCAAAAGTTCCTGGTTCTTCCTGATCCTCATTCCTCAGCAAGCAATATATCAAGATATCCTGAAGCTACCTTGGCGTCAATCACAAAGGTAACAAAAGTTCTAATTTTTTCTATTTTGTCCACTAAATGTACTCCCTGGTGTCCTGAAGACCTTTAGAGATTTCAAGCTAAACTTCTAAGGGACCACTGCCAGCACAGTGATTGGCAGGAGTTTAATGAGAAAAGGGGATGGGGGAGGGCAGGGTACTTAGAGTCATTTTATTGTTACTGCCTCAGTAACTGCAATTTGAAAATGGTTTTCCTGTCTGAGGCTGAGAAAGCTCCATTTATTGTCTTAGGACCTCTTTCACAAATAGATTACTTCCATCTCACAAAGTATTGGCTTGAACTCCAGACACTGCTATACAAGTGAGAGATGAATGGTGGTCACTATGTCCTATACCTAGGGGTCCCTTCCTGAGAACAGCCTTCTTAGGATTCTACTATAGTCATCCTGAAGTTTCATCCGTTACTTGGAACCATACAGTTTTGAGTGAAACAGGCCTCAAACCTGTTTGGCTCAAATGAGCAATTATCTCTACTCCTAGAGTCTAGAATTATGCTAAGACAGTAGCCACTAACCACATGTGGCTGTTTAAAATAGTGAAAATGAAATCAAATTAAAAACTCCTTGATCACACTAGCCACATTTGAATTCAAGTGTTCACAAGCACAGATCATCTTTGTCACAGAGCTCTGTATCTTACTTTACCTTCCTGTGTCCACACCCAAGAATACCTTCCAATTGTCCAAGCAGCCATAGTTGTAAGGATTCCTAAATACCTAGAGCCAAGAAAAACATATGTGTTTCTACAAACCTTTTTTATTTAATCCCCTCCTAATTTTTGAGATGAAATTGACTCGAGCTAAAGCTAAGGTGGGCAAGTTCTGGCCTTTTATGATGCTTGCCCTAGTCAGCCCTGACCATGGCCTCTGTCTACAGGAGGGCAGATTCAGTTACCCACCTGCCCAACCACCCCAAGCCCTCAACCTTACTCACTCTGCCCTTGGCCTGTAGCCGGTGTCTCTCCTTCTTGTTGATGTGCCTTTCGATGCTAGTCTCTCCCCGACTGATGAGAACAGCATGCCATATAGTTAGGGCACCCAGAGCAAGTGCCACAGAACTAAGAAAGAGAGGCTAAGATTGGTGGGTAGTTTCAAGAGGGCTGGAGGAAGTAGTTCTGAAATTGAGTTAACCTATAACTGGGTAGCAACCTCTCTGCCCAAGTCTTCCTCATTTCCCTGCATGCATCCTAGGTGAACTTTTACTTCACTATATCTATAGACAGCATCAGCCAGGCACAGTGGCTCATGTATACAATCCCAGCTATTCTGGAGACTAAGGAAGGGGTATCGCTTGAGCCAGGAGTTCCAATCCATCCTCTCAACATAATGAGAACCTGTCTCTTATTAAGAAAAATAGACCAGGCACACTGGTTCATGCCTGTAATCCTAGTACTGGGGGTGGGGGGGTGGGAGCGTGTCCTCAAGGGAGGATTGCTTGAGCCCAGGAGTGGGCAATGTAGTGAGACCCTATCCACAAAAAAGTAAAAATAATTAACCAGGCATGGGTAGTGTACATCTACAGTCCCAGCTACTGAGGCAGGAGGATCACTTGAGCCCAGGAGTTTGAGGCTGCAGTGACCTATTATCATTGCCACCGTACTCCAGCCTGGGAGAAAGAGCAAGACCCTGTCTCATACCCGTGCTTGGGAGATAGTGGGGAGTAGTAAAAGCACTGGAGGTGGGAATGGGATGGCATGAAATTCAAATTCTAGCTCTACCATTCCTAACTCAGTATCATGGAACAAGTCACTCCACCCCTCTAATGTTCAGTTTTCCTCATCTATAAATATAGCCATCTACCCTTTAGGTAGGTGCTATGAGGATGAAATAAAATAAGGAGTTTAATTTATCTTGGCACATAACAAACATATGCTTTTATCCTTGTGCTTAGTAACAAGCAGTACTAGTATTCTTAACGTTCCCTGCCCCAAAATGCTGAAGAAAATTAAGTACAGACTCTTTGCCAACATAAATTAGACCAGGTGAACAGTGGCAGTTCACTTAGAGATGGGTTCCTGCCTGTATGTGGACACCTAAAGTTTTTTCTGAAGCTGCCCCTCCCTGAAAACTATCAAAAATGAGAATTAAATACCTGCACAGGAACCAGAGGTAGACAAGACTCTTGTGAGTCATCCTTTCTTGAAAGGAGAAGGTGGGTGGTGGGGTCTGGTGATAAGTCTAGAAAAAGAAAACAGCAAAGCCTGACTTATTTGCTCTGTTGGTCTCCAGCAACTGGCACCAGAGCCCCCAGCATCTATAGGCAGAAGTGATCCAAACCCAGGCAGAGAAAATGGGGATAAAAGCCACAGAGGAGTCAGGGCAGCAGCCAGATGGGTGGACCAAGCCCAGTGACAGCATCATGTGGACAAACACTGGGCAGAACAGGTCTGGACAAGGTGGCAAAAGCACAGGAGGAGCTGACCCTGAGCCTTCACGTTGACAACACCAATGGGGCTCCAGGGGAAGCCAATCCAATCCCCAGCTGGAACTCCTCTGTGTGGCTATGTCTCCAAGAGAGACCAGACCACACCCAGAATATACTGACTGGAGTGGGAGAACCCGCAGTTCCACTAAAGACTGCGAAAGGACAGCAGAGATACAATCATATGAGCCCAAGATGCGCTCAGCAGATTAAGGAGTCCTAAAAGGCACTGGAGTAGGGGGTGGGGCAAGGGTGATCCAGATGTGGATGGACCAGGAGCAAGGGATGATCAGACTGGCCCAGCCTGATCTCTGTCCCCTGGAACCCCATTACACAGAATAACATAGACTCCCTGCTGCTCAGGCCATCACCAAGGCAGAGTGCTTCCTCAGCCCAGAGAGAAGGTGATGGTGGGACAGACAGCCAAAGACTATCATACCAGGAACTTCCACCTTGCCCCCAGACCACTTAGTCTACCCACTGCAGACAGCCTCCCTGAACACTCCTGATCCCATCTACTATGGCCTCTCAACCAGTGTCTACAACTAGACTAGCAGGTCGGTCCCAGTCGCCTGAGCAACTCTACACCCCCAGGCCGGAGCAGCAGGAGGCAGTGGGGTGGGGACAGCCCACCTGGTTGGCAACCGCCTGTAGTTTGTTCTTGTCGAGCTGTTTCATTTTCTAAGGGGATGGAAAACAGTGCTGGTTATACTCTCAAGCCTCTAGAATGGGGGTGCTACCAGCCCCATCCTTAGGGACAGGTTCTACACCCCACAGTTCTGCACTATGGAGCCACCCTGCTGCTAACAGTGAGCTCACCTCAATGGCAACATAAGCCTCCCGGAAAAGGTCCCAACTTCCATAGCTGCAGTAGATACAGCCCAGAGTCATGAAAAAGCAGAAAGAGAAGAAGTACCGATGATTATAGTGGCCCACACAATTGTTCAGCCAGGCTGGTGGGAAAATGATTAAGGACAAGATCAAACACAATTTTAGGGGGTATTCAGGCCTCTTTGGTTCATGGTGACATCACACAAGCCTCAGGCTTCTTCCAGTCACCAAGAACTATTTTCCAAAGGCAGGAAAATATGGGGCTGTTTCCTGAGGTTTAGGTGAAAGTGTTCTAAGCTTTTTAGAGTCCTTAAGTCCCACCAGGAAACCATGGAAACTGAAATCCTGCAGTAAAATGAATCTACCAATACTTCAGCCTAGCTGGGGTTAGCCAGACATCTGTATGGGACAGAAGGGGACCCATGGTTCCATCTGACACACCCAGCAGACCACCACAGAAGCCCAAATATCTCTTCCCGTTCTACAGCTGTTAGTACAACAGTCTACAGAAGAAAGAGCTGTTACATGATTCCTTGCTCCCAGAAGGTATGTACCAGAGTGCTTGTGAGCCTCCTGCTCCCCAAGGAGATGGTCAGCCCTGCACCTCTTCTACCAACTCCTCATGAGCCCATTGTGCTCTGGAGCTAAAGAAGGCCTCAGGCAGAAGAGAAAGCAAAAGGATACGGCAATGATGATCCATCTTCAGCACACACCTGTGAGGGAGGGACACAGGCTCTGTTACGGTGGCCAAGATTCTTGAGATGTCAGTGCCAATCCTTTCCTACAAGGCCCAGCATCCTGCTGAGGTGGAAAGGGCACAGACTTGAAGACAGCCAGGCCTGGCTTCACACCCAGCTGTGTGGTTTCTTGGCTGTATGGCATTGGACAAGGTAACTCATCTTTTTGAACCCAGCTTCCACAAGTGGTAATAGTGCCTAACTCTCAGGACCATCCTAAGAACAAGGTGTCAGGAGATGGCAGATTGCCTGGGACATGATAGGTGCTTTGTACATATCTTAGCAAACTTCAGGTCTAGGTTTTGCGCTAGGGCTACAGCAGAAGGGTCACAGCTGGGGTTGATAGAGAAAAGCCAAGACCCACCTATTGCAAATGCTGCAGTGGTGCGTTCGGGCTGGCTTGGGGTAAATGCACTTCTTACAGATGGAGACCGTGGCGATGTCATTCCTGCCCTGTGCAAAAGGAGAAGAGTGTCATCACAACTGTGACAGCACCAGTTCTGTACCTCAAAAGACACTAAAGCACTCTCCCTCACTCCTGGGACTAGCTCCCATAGACTTCAACTCTCCCCCTCCCCTATTCCCCTGTGGGGACCCACCTGGGGTGGGTACCCAGGCGGAGTGGTGATGGCCTGGTAGTAATGGAAGACGATGAGGATCAGATTCCAGTGACTATAGAAGAAATGCCAGCAAAGTCGTGGAACTGAGTAGGTTCGGAGGATGAGGGGCAGGACACATAGGTAGGCAATGGCCACAATGGAGCTTGTCAGCACGATCACCAGCACCACGAACACCTGTTGACACCAGTAAGGTCAGGCAGACACAGTGAGACAGCTCTATCAGGTAGACTCAGGAATTTCCCTGGGGGTAGGGGGTGGCCTTCAAAACCTAGTGTGGGTCCATCAGAGACATGTCCATCTGCTCCCCCAGACACCCCTTTTTCTGTTCCCTGGGCATCACTCACCACCCCAAACCAGCGGATCACGTTGTCCACCAGCCAGTAGACGGGCTCAAAGGCAGCATCAACCGCAGTGTCACTGCCCCCAAAGGAGTTGTAGAGCAGGGAGCGCAGGCAGACCTTGCCATAGCGCCAGCGCTGTACCAGGCCCCGGAGCAGAGGTGGGCAGCGGCGCCTGTAGCCCAGAAGCAGAAGCAGGCGCAGGCAGAGGCGGGCCGGGCCCAGCAGCAGGCTCCGCTGGCCCCTCATGGCTCCTGAAAGAGCACAGCATTGTGAGAATCCAGCCTGAGTCCTGTCCCTCCCTACCCTACTAGTGGGAAGGCCCAGAGCACCCACTTGGAGGGCAAAGACCTAAGACTAACACCCAGCTAGGACAGTTACCAGCTATGGAAAGTAGGAAGGTCACTTCACTTTTCCACAGACTGTCCAGTGCCAATGTCCCAACCACATTATTTGGGTAGGGACTGAAGGCTCTGAGCCTACAATCATATTTACATCACACCATGTGGGTACACAGCAAATCCACAAATCCAGGGATTTGCGTGCCTGGGCGGGTACAGTGGCTCACACCTATAATCCCAGCACTTTAGGAGGCTGAGGCAGGAGGATCACTTGAGGCCAGGGGTTCAAGACCAGCCTGAACAACATAGCTAGACCCCATCTCTACAAGAAATAGAAAAATCAAGCTGGGAGAAGAAGGGATTGTTGGAAAAGATGGTTGACGATGTACAACCAGTTTCTTGAGTCCAGCCGTTTGTGAAAAGCTCCACTCTATCAAGCTATGCAGCAGGCATCATTAAGATACTAAGTGATGTTGTTCTGCTCAAATGACTGCAAGACATTTGGGGAAAAAGTTACCCCAAGAGCTAAATCCAACCATTCAAAAGGTGACAAGAATCTCAGAGCTCCCCCTCTCTGCAGCTTCAGGAAGCATCTTGGCTCTGCCCACACATGCACACCAAAGATTGCAACCCCATGCCTGAGGCTCCAGGCAGCCACTCAGAAATTGTCACAGCCATGCCAACCTTTATCAACCACCATCCTCATCTGTCAGCCCCCAGCAAGATCAAAGCAAGACCCTCCACTAGCAAAAAGATTATGACTTGCTGAAGGTTCAGATGATCACTGGCATTTTTTAGCAATAAAGTATTTTTAATTGAAAAAAAAAATCAAGCTGGGTGTGGTAACTCACATCTGTAATCCTAGAACTTTGGGAGGCCAAGGTAGGAGGATCACTTGAGACTAGGAGTTAGAGCAGGGGTCCTCAAACTTTTTAAACGGAGCCAGTTCACTGTCCCTCAGACCGTTAGAGGGCCGTTGGAGAGTGCGGCACACATTCCACACACACAAACTGTGAGCCCAGGATGAGTTGGCTGCTAAGCAGGACAGGCAGCAGGGGCAAAAACACCCTCGGGCCAGATAAATGTCCTTGGCGGGCCGCAGGTTGAGGACCCCTGTTACAGACTAGCCTGGCCAATAGTGAGGCCCCATCTCAAAAAAATTGAGTGTGGTGGTTCATGCCTGTAGGCCTAGCTACTTGGGAGGCTGAGGTAGGATCTCTGGAGCCCAGGAGTTTGAGGTTGCAGTGAGCTATGATGATGCCACTGCACTCTAGCCCAGGCAACAGAGCAAGACCCTGTCTCAAAAAAAAACCACAAACCTAGAGCTAGAGCAAAGGGCCACAGTAGGAGGTAAGAGGCAAGCAGCCCCAAACCAAAGCAGTCATCTTTGGAGTTGTCTATGTAGGCAGACCTTTGGGGTCTGTGTGGACAATGTTGCCCACTCTGTCTCTGGGCATGGCCACTGTAGCAGAGTTTTCCTGGGGTCTCCTGCCTAGCCTAACCCATTGCCGTACTTCCTAACAATTGCTCTTCACCAAAGAACGGCCATGGGGGAGTCAGTGCACAGCATGTAGATCCTGCACCTACATCTATGGTGCTATTTGAGTCTTGGCAAAGATACTCCTTGCTACTCCCTCTGGGCTGATGTTACAGCCCAGCAGACTCAACCTAGTAGCATGAGATTCCCTGTCTCCTATCAGAACAGCCAGCTACCCCTTGCTTGACATAAGATGCTTTGTCTCCAATTCCACTCCCAGCCCCAACCCAAGGATAAGATAGCCAAGACAACTTCAGGTATTCAGAGCAGCACACCACAGGAGTCACCAGCAGTGGAAGGGGGCCATCAACATGAAGACCTCAGGGCCTGCCCTCTCAGCCAAGAGTCTCTCCTGCCTTGCTCTAGGTAGACACTCAAGAACCTCTGCAACTGCTGCCCTTGGCCCCAAGATTCCCAAGCAGTCTTCCCAGTTCTTTAGTCCTTTCATTCCCCTGCAATGCCTCCATCTCCTCTCTGCAGTTTCTACCCCATCCAACAACCATGGGAAGAGATCAGGTGCCTACACAATGACCAGATCAGAAGACACAGATGCTCTAAAATATTCCTTCAATAGTTTCATCATAAATTCTTTAGATTAAAGTCTTTTACCAGAAAAGAAATTATCTGATTTTCCTCAAGGCGGCCAGGGAGTGCTCTTTGTCCTTGACAACTCCACTGACTTATTTAACAGGTAGCTCAAAACCCAGCAGAAACTGGAGGAGGCTGCTCCACGGTAGGGATAGTTTCAATTCAGTAACTGGAGCATGGTACTCTTCTTGCACCCTGGCTCATCTTAGAAGGCCTTTCAAAGAAAACACTTAATTACTTCCTTCCACAAGCCCTGTAAGTCCTAAGGCTAAAAGAAACCCAGAAGACAAGGCGTACAGAGAAAGAGAAAAAAAGACAATTCAGTAGGAACTCGGCACCAGGATAAAGAACTTGGCCATTCCCATCACCTCCTAGGAAGCTAAAAGAATTAAGGGGGAGTGTAGAAAAGAGGAAAAGAAAACAAAAACTCAAACTTTTACCTCCTCTGAGTTGGACTCCTATTGTTTCAAACCATGATTTGGCTGGAAGCATGAATTTTCAAAATAGCAGACACCCATAATCATGTTAAGAGTGAGACAAAACACTTCACCCCAACAGCAAAACTAGGCGACTTTTGGACTGTCCAAACCACTGTTCATTCCCTTACTATGGCTAATGGAGAGTTTCCTATTTGCTAAAATACTTTTTAGAGCAATAGCATGCAAATCAGATGCATTCCTCATTTGTAATAAACTTGAATTATATGCCACCTTATCTCTCCTAATCTTTTTTTTTTTTTTGAGACAGAGTCTCACTTTGTTGCCCAGGCTAGAGTGAGTGCTGTGGCATCAGCCTAGCTCACAGCAACCTCAAACTCCAGGGTTCAAGCGATCCTACTGCCTCAGCCTCCCGAGTAGCTGGGACTACAGGCATGTACCACCATGCTCGGCTGATTTATATATTAGTTGGCCAATTAATTCTTTCTGTTTATAGTAGAGACGGGTCTTGCTCTTGCTCAGGCTGGTTATGAACTCCTGACCTTGAGCAATCCGCCCACCTCGATTACAGGCGTGAGCCACCACGCCTGGCCTCTCCTAGTCTTAAAACCAAAAAAAATCTCAGATTCTCCACTTTTCAGATTCTTCACAGCAACCTCTTGAATTCCTGAGCTCTACAGGAAATACCTGCCTCAAGGACTAAATTTACCAATTCCTTACCGGTCTCTTTCTTTCCCTAATCAGTTCTTTAACCTTGGGCAAATCACTGAACCCTACTGGGACTTGAATTTGCCATTCAATGAGAGTGTAGGATTAAATGCTAATGTTCCTTCCAGCTCTAATATATATGATTCTATAACTATATGATGATTCTATAACTGTATGATTCCCTGTATGATTCTATAACTACACAGTCATCCATAATGGGGTGGGGGATTGGTTTCAGGACCCCCTGCAGATACCAAAAATCCATGGATGCTCAAGTCCCTGATAAAAAATGGCATAGTCATGGGGCACGGACAATATATGTAACCTTAACACTTGTACCCCCATAATATGCTAAAATAAAAAAATAAATTTTTTTTTTAAAAAGTGGCATAGTATTTGCATACAACTTGTGCACATCTTTCTGTATACATTTCTGTATATAGCATCTCTACATTATTTATAATACCTAATACAACGTAAATACTATTTAAACAGTTGTTATACATACAATAAGTCCTCGTTTAACGTCATCAATAGGTTCTTGGAAACTGGGACTTTAAGAGAAATGAAATGATGTGTATAGTAAGTCTTCAAATAATGTCATAATGCTGATGAGAAAAAAAATTGTTATACTCCATTTCAATTAAAGTCAATTCCAAGAACCTACTGATCACATTAAGTGAAGACATACTGTTTTGTTTCTATTTGTATTATTTTTTGTCATATTATTATTATTTAATGTTTGTCCCCAGAATATTTTCAATATGGGGTTAGTTGAGTCCACAAATGAAGAACCCTTGGATATGGAGGGCCAAGTGTACTTGGTAAGGTATAAATGAAATGTTTATAAAGCACTTAGCACAAGGCCAGTCACAGTAGCTCATGCCTATAATCCCAGCACTCTGGGAGGCCGATGCAGGAGGATCGGTTGAGCCCAGGAGTTTGAGGTTACAGTGAGTTATCATGACACCACTGTACTCTAGCTGGGGCAACAGAGCCAGACTCTGTCTCAAAAAAAAAAAAAAAACTTGTTGAATGAATGACCTGGAGGAATGAAGAAGTGGGAAGGTGGGTCAGATGTGTATCTGTCCTACAAATACCAGCAAGAACACTCCTGCCAATGTGATAACACTAAATAAGTGTCTGCTGCTATCATTCTTCCTGATTAATAAAGAGAGAAATTGAAACTGTTATTAGAATCATTGCCTTTAGGAGCTAGAAGTCATTTTAGAAAACAAGTCCAACCAGCCTAAACACATAAACAGAAAACTTGCAGGGTGAGGTGGCTCATGCTGTAGTCCTGGCACTCTGGGAGGTGGGAGGATCGCTTGAGGTCAGGAGTTTGAGACCAGCCTGGGCAATAGCAAGACCCCATCTCTACTAAAAATAGAAAAAATCAGCAGGGCATGGTGGTACATGCCTATAGTCTCAGCTGTTTGGGAGGCCGATGCAGGAGGATCACCTGAGCCCAGGAATTTGAGGCTGCAGTGAGCTGTGGTGATGCCACTGCACTCTACCCAGGGCAACAGAGCAAAACTCTGTCTCCAACAAAAAAGTTTTCAGATGCACAGGTACAGACCAGATTTGAGTGAACAAAGTCTGAAGTCAGTTCCTCTCCCCTTCAGTTAGTGGGGAGTTATAGAGATGCCAGGGAAAAGATACATGTAATAAATGGGTTACAAGTGAACATACAGACTTTCCCCTCAGGAAACTGAGGTAAAACAAAATTCAAAAAATTGTGTGTGGAGGGCAATTATCTCAGTGATTGGGGAGGAAAGAGAGCAAAGCACAGTTTTACTATCACCCCAAGCACAAGCCCTGAGTACTTGGATCCTTCAATAGTAGCCACAAATGGTGGTGGCCATCTGCCACCAGATTAGAGGAGATTGCAGGCCACAGCACCCACCTCCTCTTCCCAAGGTTCTAAGTCACCATCTGTTTCCCAAAGGGAAACCCAACTGGGGAGGAAGGGAGAGGAGACAGGGAGGGACAGATTGCAAAACCACCAGAAGTTAAATAAATTGAGAGCGAAGTCATGGCAAATCTTATCTGGACAAAAATGCTGCTCTCAGGATGTTTGCAATCTCGAGCAGGAGATGTCAGTTATCAGTAAAGAGCAGCATTTTATCCATGTGTAGACTTCCCTTTCCGGCTAACAGGCTGAGAAGAAAAACAGCAGCAGCTTTATCATAGGGCTGCTCATCTTTGGATGAGGGGCCCACACACCTAGAGCACCGCTTAAGAGGATTCGACTGCAGGACTGAAAGCTGCAGTTACAAAAACCGCGAAAAGGCTTTACTTCTCAATGAGGGCGGCGCGGTCAAACTGCGATGGACTGGAAGCCAAAAACTTGGGTTCCGGTTTGGGCTCTATCTTAAACTATCTCCGCGACTTTGGACAAGTCATGTCCTGTCTCAGGATCTGAGTTTCCAGACCTGTGAAATGGGCGAGTTAGGTTGATTGACCTCGCTCCTGCTCTGCGCGTTACAGCAGCCCAGCGAGCGCGCTTTGCCCGAGAAGGGTATGGCCCCGCGGGGCGGGGCG